TTGTGACATAATCCCCAAAGCACCAGGTGACATGCATGGCTTGAGAAGTCTCTCATTGGAGTGCACTGTGTCAATGAGTGGATTGCTTTCTGCATGGGGATTCTCATTATCATTGCATGTATTATGCAGATTTGGCATGAGTGGTACCTAGGATGCACATAGGGGGTTGTATAAGTGCCCAGTATGAATGGATCAATAGACCACTGGGGTTATGACACAGGCTGTCCCAATGTACATGTATGTGCACAGTACTCAATGACGGCACTGTGAAAGACTTCAGACAGTCATGAATTCATGCACTAGAACAGCCTACATATAATTTTTTCTGACAAAGTGCACAGGGAAACTGACAAGGGGTTAACGTATTATGAAGATGAAGAAAAGCCATCCAAATTGAACCAATAAATTCCTTTTTCCATCAGTTAATTTTTTTTTTTTTTAGTCAGGGTTTGCAAACTGAATTTGTTTTTTTTGACTTCAACATTTAGTGAAGCAATTTTTCAAATTATTCTAATGATATAAAATCATGACAAATACAGATATCCTGATGTACCAGTAATTTACGGGATGCTTATTGCATGGGTGTGATATTTCAGGATTTATTTCGCCATGATTTTCGAGATAGCAGGATTTTTCAAATAATCTCTTAAAATCTGGAAAATCCTGAGTTTAGCTAAAGTGTTGGCATAACAGTTGATAAAGATCACAAGACGTGGGTACCAAGGGGTGGCCTTAAGCAAACATTGACCTCACACTGCTGTAGGGCCATGATCAAACCTGATGATTGTTTCATGGATATTTCAGTTTCCTCCAGTCTCAAATTGTTCTAAAAATAAAAATTGTCACAAAGAAATCTTAAGGCTGTGCCGAATATTCGAATGATTATCAAATATTAGAATGTTGTTTTTCGAATGTGAATATTCGAGTGCAAAATTCATAAAAAGGAAGGGAGAATTTTGTTTTGTTTTATGTGAGAAAAGTTGCACTGTGGAGGCTTGTTCCAAGCAGATTCAAATGAAAAGCAAGAGACAATGATTCAAAAAGTACATTATTCATTACAAATTTTAAAAAGAATATACATTATCAACAGGACAAGAAGTCCTGTTTGTCTCTTAAATCTTGCTAAATTGTGGCTGGAGATACTCATGGTTGTTCCTCAACAATCTGTCGGTTGTTACGCGCAAATATTCGGATATTCGATTGAATTGAGGGTCGAATATTCAAATAGTGAGTTATTCAAATTGACTGAGCCATGACAAATATATCCCAATGTACCAGTAATGTACTTCTTGGGATGGTGTGCATTTTATGCAAAATTGCACTCCTGATTAAAGTGAAAGAAATTTGCCCCATACTTGTCAAGCAGACGACTCTGTGAAGATAAAGCAGTTTAATTTTTATACTGTCTCAGGGATTGAGATGTTACCAAAGGTGTGTACAAACTAGGAAGGAGACAAAAATAAGAAGGAATATTGAACTTTTGTCTTTCAGAGGTTCTGGTTCATGAAAGCCATGTGCACCAAAAACAAAACAAACAACAAATACAAAACTTGAAAACAACAAAAGAAGGGGAAATGTACATGTATGTACATGTAATTCTTGAACGTACAGTAGTTTTCCAAACTCCGTGAATAGTTTGGCCGAAATGTAGTCTAGGCTGGTTCTCATCTCACAAGCAACTGAACATACTCTTTTTATTCCGACTGTTGTCTTATCCCAGATGAGCCGACCCGGTCTCTCAGCGGTCTCATCCTCAAGAACAACGTCAAGGCACACTTCCACAGCTTCCCGCCGGCCGTCACCGAGTTCATCAAGTCGGAGTGCCTGGAGAACGTGGGCGACCCCTCCCCCTTGATCCGGGCCACCATTGGCATCCTCATCACCACCATCGCCACCAAGGGCGAGCTAAAGAACTGGCCCCTGCTGCTGCCCACTCTCTGCAATCTGCTGGATTCGGGTGATTATAACACCTGTGAGGTGAGTGGCTCTCTCGTTTCAACTGTCTAAGGAATGAACAAATGCAAAAACTTGCTGCAAACCACCTGCTGACTGCAGTGGACTGAAATGATACAAATTAAAGAAGATGCTCTTCCGTCTCAGCAGAACCCTCATACTTCAACGGCTTTTTCCAAGAATAATTTCTGGTAAAAGTATACGAGACTGTGTGTTTGCTTGTTTATTTTGTCTCCCCAGAAATTAATTTTTGAATGCCTGGCGAAAGTTGTGTATCAGCAAGAGTTTATTGGAATATTGTCTTGTTTACATTTACATTCGCATGCATTTGGTTCCTGCTCCCATTAGCTTCAGTTTAACTGGTCCCCTTATTTGACTCCGTTTCTTGTACCCCGTATTTACTTTCAAGCATTCAAATTTTTCGCTTGTGCCTATTTCTAACCTGTAAATTCAGTTGTGTCCACATGTTGATATGCATAAGATGAGATTGAAGAGAAAGGTGTTTGTTGAATTTGACAATTCAGAACCGGATGGGTGTGAAATGGGTTTTCCACAATTATATGCGATGTCTTCTCAGGTGGACTTTAAATGTACATGTGTATGTAGTCTGCTTGTGCTATTTTTAGTGTAATTGCATTAAAACAAGGCAATTGAAAAGGGCATATGCAGAATACATGGGAGAAGTCCCAGCCTTCCCCCCACAATCCAGCTCTAAGTGTGCCGAGTGTGCCGTCCTATCCATCAAGGATATGGGTTCAATTACTTAGACACGACAGCTAGCGCGTTGTAATCATGAATCCAGCCCGACTTATTCCCTGGGTTCCTCTTTTTTTTTGGGGTGCTTCGGGGCAAGGCGCAAGCTGTGCCCAACACCCGGATGCCCGTTTGCGGAATGAGATGATTTATCTCTTTTGTATCGCAGCATCGCCGAGCGGAAGCACAATTAAGATCAGGTGTCAACTTGTGGAGTAGATGCGCGAGTGCCGTATATAAGGCCATGATGATTATGTGCACGTTAAATGTTCTTGGGAGCAGCTCTTTGCAGAAAAGGAAGATTACATCTAGTTTTGTTTTTTTTCGAATGCCGCACATAATTTTTTGTCCACCATGCATACATGATGTGTATGCCCATTTACATACACACATGTAGCTGTACATGTATGTGCATGCGTTTCTCATCGTGTGGTGCTCTGCATATTTTACCTGTGGTAGTGTGTTGTTACAGATTGTTGCACAGCCAACGATGAAGTTTTTGGGTTATGCTTCAGTTGAAATAACAGAAATTTAAAAATAATACGTGTACATTTATTTCCAGTAACGTCACGCGCACTCTGTATATGTATGTATGTGAAACAAAAACTTTCTGTGCATTTAAACATGCACATGTACCGTGCGATTATTTTACCTTACAGACTTAGAAGCTTACCACTTTTAATGTGACTGAAGGTGTGAAAAAATATCACTTTTATATATTAAAGTAGAATTTCCAAAGGGATCGGGAAACTCGCCACTGCCAGACTCTGTTAATGCCTGTTTGGATGCCACTTAAGCACGTACATGTACATTGTGTGCTCTTGTTGGGCGCATTCATCCTGTGCATTGATAATTGGGTTGGTAATTATGCATGAAACAATGATTGGATTTCCAGATTACTTGTGGAGTGTTACACATGTACGCATATCCTTTGTAGTAAGGACCAGGATAAGGGGGAAATGTATGTTAATGTGTACATGTGCACGATACAGTGTGAATGACACGGACTCAAGTTTCAAGCAGCCATGCGTGGCTTTCACAAACGGCACTGTATGAATTTGCATATCGCGTGTGGAACGACATCACTGGTTACAACAGCACGCTACATGTCGCGCTGCCTGTAATTGAATCAAGGAAAGACTTTTTAATTGGTTTGTGAAAATTTTGCCGGTTAATTATGCAGGCGGTGCTCGCTCGGAAGCTGTACATGTGTACGATAGCGGAGCATGCTGTTCTTTTTGGGGGGGGGTTTCAGAAACAAAATGTTAAAGTGCACGTTTTGGGCAGTGAAGATACTGCTTTATCTGAAATAAAATGAAAGCTTAAACAAATGGTTTTTCGTTAAAGGTCTGCAAAAGTAATCTGAAGAACATGAACAAGTATGCACCTGCCTGCCGTTGTACATTGGTTGTTCCGCAGGGTTTAAAGTAAATGAGCAAATTAATTTTCAAAACTTCAAGTATGTGACAATCACCTTTCCTTCTCTTGCGAATGAAAGACCAGAGTAGTGAGGCACGCCTTTGGTAGTAGGTATCCAAAGTACGTTGAACTCCTTCCATCTGTCTGTGCCTGCGTGCATGTACATGTGCATGCATGTGTTCTGCATCCTGTAAAGTAAGGGATCATGTTTGATTGGCACGGCTTACTCTCACACAGGTGCAGTTTTCTCCCAGCTTGAACTTGTCGAAATGTCACATCCTGCACATCCTGTCTGTGCACCTGCTACAGCGCTAGGGCATAATGCAGGTTTCTTGGAATCCGTAATGACATGTACATGTACCTGGACATGGACACTCGCCTTCGGGCACAGGCACTGTGCACAGGCTGGGCTCTACATGTACAGTAGTTGTACACACTATGTATATGTGCCTGCAGAGGCTTTGTCTAACAAACTAGATGCACACAGTAACCCCCAAGGCTGAATCTAGCTTTCAAAAGCCATGTACATGTATTAGTATCAAAGGATTCCTTCTGGTTGTTCTTTTTACCTGGACTGTTTGTGCAAACTGTGGTTTAGTCTTCCATCTTCGTCCTACTCCTAGGCCTTTAGTTTTGTGAATTTAGTTGTCCCAAGATAAATGAATTGTAATCTCGTTCTCTACTACATGCACAGATATAATTAATTGTGTAAGGTTGATCAGGTATTTCTGTGGTTATATTTTTTTTACTTTGAGGGAGGATCAGTTGGTTAGGGGAATAAGGGGTAGAAAGAAATTGCTTGCTTGTCCCTAGGAAATCATCAGTCTTTATTTTTCTGTTAAAAGAAAGTTTTTTTATTCCGTTGGAGCCAAAAGTACACGTAAGTTCTGGCCGAAAATGAGAAGCATAGAATTAACTACGGATGCCGTAATGCAAGGCCACGGATGTCGGTATTCTAAGCCGGTTGAATGTTTGTGATTCTGGGGTCGGATGAAAATGAAAAGGGGGGAGACAAAAGCTGAGAGTTTGAAGAAAATGTTTTGAGCCTGGACACTGCTCACCTTACTGAATATTCTTGAATTTGTCGGAGCTGGGACTAATCGGGAACTGGAACATATCATGGGTCATTGCCCGGGAAGCAATCTTTGCTATAAAGTCAATGACTTGCTGTCACAAGGATGCCCATTAAATCAAGGTGATGCTTAATTTCATTGGCATCATTAGGGCAGTGGTGAAATTCGTGTGTCACCTTGATGAAGCACCGGTATGTGCAATTACAGGTATGCAGGAAGTTGGCCTCGATGGACCGAATAAATTTTTCTGTGGACGGACAAGTAGTTAGCTTTTGCATTTCTCGGCACCAAGCCATCATCATCAGTTGTAATTTGGTGTTTGGAAACAACCAATTTTGCAGTGGATCAATGCATAGAATTTCCTTAAAAGACCAGATGCTAAATCAGAAAATTTGTTAATTCTGTCCCTTTTTCCCGGTTATAGTGGGTAAAAAATATTTGCCGCAAGCCATGCACTAACAAAACACATGTAAATCCTTTGACCAGTAACAAGTAATATGCGCAATTCACAATAGTTTGCCTCCAAGAGTTTGCAATGCATGGGCCAATCACAACCTGCGGAATCTGTTGACGCGCTCCAAATGGGCATTGGGTCAACAGATCTCGCGCATCGTGATTGGCCGATGTATTGCAAACTATTTTGAATGGCCGTATTAAAGCTGGCGCATATGCGTATGCTTATTTACATGTGTACCAACGTCGGAATGAGCATGGTTTCCTGGTACTTTGCAGGGAGCATTTGGTGCTCTGCAGAAGATCTGCGAGGATTCCACGGAGATACTGGACAGTGATGCCCTGAACCGACCCCTCAATACCCTTATCCCAAAGTTCCTGCAATTCTTCAAACATGCAAATGCCAAGATCAGGTAAGTGGACAGTCAGATCCGCATGATTTATTCCATTTGCCGGTCGGCAAGGTAATGAGGTCATTTCAATGTGTAAGACACAGAGGTTTCTTCTTGTCAGACTTCTGTCGTAGTGGTAGAAAACTCCTTCGAAGATTCGAAAGTGTGAGGGCCCTCTTTTGCTGTCCAAGCACATGTTGCAGTTGTAGACAGCCGATTAGACAAGCTGGAAATGATTCACACTTGTGTGTGCATGCACGCACGCGGACTAGTTTCCGAGTAGAGAACCTTGCCTCAGATGTTGGAGATTTTTTTTGACAGTTGAAAATCCTCCTGTCCAAGCACATGGTGCCTCAGACAGGAAAAAAACCAAAGGATCGTCATGAAAACTTGTACGCGTACGGCACTCAGAGAAAAAAATATTCAGCCTGTAAAATGTGATGCCAAGTGCATACGCGTGCCTGCTTGGAGAGGGTGAATTGCAACTTGTGTTACAGTGATTATGCAGAGCCGAGCGGGATGTTTTCATGGACTTCTCCTAATGACAGCCCGTGATGACTGGAAGTGTTTGCAGTCGCACGTCAAGTTGACACGTCCTCATTCTTGCCTGCAAGGGTCAGTTGAGGAAACTGTGTCTTGGTTCATAATTGCCAGACTGGTTGGGGGAGGGGAGGGATAACCTTATTTTAAATTTAGGTTAGTTTATGCTCAATTTCCCGCAATTTGATGTCTCTTTCTGACAACTTATGTCCAAGATTGCCTTATTTATCAACGTTTGAAGAATGTATTCAATGTTCATGGGCATTCTGTTCTAAAGAAGGTGTGTCTAAAAGTAACACTCTCTTGATTCCGAAGGCGCATACATTCATGCTTACGGTAACAAAATTTGTGACTTCTCAAGCCTTGTGGAAATCAGTTATATGTACATGTGTGTTAGACTGTTCATTAGCTGCATGTGCTGAATACAGCGCACTCAAAATCTTGCATTAGATGCGTGTGCTTTGGGAGGACATTTGAGGTTAGAAACACTGAAGGTGTGAGCACTTTTGAAGGAGTGAGTATTTATGTACGGATTTCTACATTTTGTTTACCTGTGTGATTTATACTTTGTTTAAAGTCGCACTGATAATTATTTTTTGTGTCTTTATTGTGGTGATTTTGCACCATAGACTTGAATTGTTTTTCACAAAAGGGTTGACAATTTTCTGGGGTTGCAAAGCAGGGTATATTGCTTTTGAAATTGACCTGCCGAACGAGCATCAGCAGGGAACATGTGCAGTTTATAAATATCACATTACGTATTGTTGGTGTCCTGCTCTTGTGCTCGTCACATTTATGCATGAAGTGGCTCCATGGATGTTACGACCAGGACACAGGGTGTTTACAGGCTGCCCTTTTGAGTCCTGATTTGAAGTCCTTTTCTTCTTCCTTCACCCTCCCCTTCTCCGCAGATCCCATGCCATTGCCTGCGTAAATCAGTTCATCATCAGCAAGACCCAGGCTCTCATGTTACACATAGACCCTTTTGTCGAGGTGAGTACTAAACCCCTAGATTCCTCCCCCCCTCCTCCCCCGGCATCCGGTATGATCTCTCCTCATTGTCGCGCCCCCGACTTGCAAATTGCGTTCTCTCTCCGGCGTGCATTGAATCTGGCACTTTCAGGGCTCAACTTGCTTTTGCACTTTGTTCTTCACCCACATTAGAATATTTTGACACCGTTTGATAATGCCAGGATCCTGTTTCCTTCTTCCAGCATACCTGTATCGCATCACACCGTACTTGCCACATTGATGTTTGGGTTCGCTCAAATTGTACTTCACAGACGTGCTTTTGCTTGTCCTTGATGTTTGATGAATTACCTTTCTTGTTGATGAATTACCTTTCTTGTTGATACACTGCTGAGTTGTATATTTTAACATTTAAAAAAAAAGTGTAAAAGAAAGACAGACTCTTATAGATCAGGAAAATTTAGTGCTTCCCATCTGGACAAAACTTGCTCTTACAAAACCTTATTAATATACGTTGGGTAAGGGCAAACCTGTTATATATAATTAGCATCTCTCCAACGCCAAAAAAAAAAAAAAAAAATACATCTTGAAAATAGTTCGCGGTACCCGCAGCTTCATTTGACACAGA